GTTCCAGGCGGGCTGAGCAGGTGAAGACGACTGCCTGCCACGCAAGCACGCCCGCCTTCCGTTCGGCGTGCCTCACGTACCACAGCGCTCGTCATAAACCCCAGCGCTTTCAACCGTAAAATGCTTCCGTTCTCGGCGGATAGTCAGCCTTTTAGAAGTGAAAGCCGTGGAAAATCCATCTTTTTGGTGTTGTCATTCTTTAGTTTACATAGTGAACGCTTCGTCCTACCGGTCCGTGGGGGGAGCGACGGGCAGGTGTGTGTTGAGAGGAGGCGACACGGCTGGAGGGCTCAGCGTTGTAGTTACAGCTGTGTGCACGACGAGCAAAAAGATGAGCGCGGAGCAGGTTTTGCGTAGGCCGGTTATTCGCGCGCGGCCGTCTGAAGTCCACCGGTCCCACCCCCCAAAGGAAAAGCTGTGACGACAATAACTGAGATTTGCCAAGATCCCTAAGTTACTCCATGAAAAACGGTTCCTTTTGATAGCAATGCGTGAACGCTGCAGAATATTAATCAACGCATGTTATTTCCAGCGCGTAGTGCCAAGCAGTTACATTTCCGTGTGCAAGGCTACAAACCGTTCTTAGGAAATTTAAAAATTGAGCCAAACGTCAGGTTCAGAGGATGTGTTTGAATCCTGGTGTAAATGTCTAGAAGACAAGAACGCTTGCACTGCGTGAAGCAAGCGGGTTGCCTAACCTGGTGTCTTGGCTGTGGAAGAAAAGGCATAACAATTTGCCACTGATGCGGAATAAGCTGTCTCAGGAAAAAAAAAAAAAATCCCATTTCATAAATAAGTCCTTCTCAAGTAAAAAACTGCTGTTGTAATTCTGCATATCTGTATTGGCCTTTAATATGTCTATAAAGTGCTGCTGGGGTCTTTGCATTGTCATCTACATGGCCACAATTTATCCAAATGTTGTGGGTACAAAGCGGCTCCGGTGTTTGCTGCTCCCTTTACCAGCTCTCTTCTGACGACTGTAAAAACTCTGCCTATATTGTAGTAAAAGTCTGAGTAGAGATGTTTTCTCCAAGCTGTCCGTTTGTAACTTTCCATGTCTTTAACCCCCATTCCTACCCATTTTTCACGCTTACTCTATGAATAAGCAGTCAGAATCTTTCAATTACATTTAACAGAAGCCTTTAAAAACTGGAGGGGAGTGTCTTTTTTTTCTTTTTTTCTTGAATTCTGTCTCTTCCAGGTGTATTATTTAAGAGCCCATGAAGTAACCAGCACTTCTGTGCTAGCTAAGAGCACGCAACTGATGCAAAATATCACCGCATTTTGTGTTTTCCCCATGCCGTTTCATACGCGTGTTCCATTGGCGTTTTGTTTTTATTATCAGGCTGCTGCTGCACAGTGGCAGCTTGAGGTTTGGCATTGACTTCTGGCTCAGCTTTCGCTTGTCCCCTTTTCCCTTCATGCAATGTCATTTACGTAGAGCTGTTACATACAACACTAGTCTGAGTTCTCTGGTGCTTCTACGTTCGTTACCACTTGGCATCTCATCAGCCTAAAGCATAAGCTGTGTCTTACTCCTTCATCTCATACAGCAAAGCACTCCCGGAAGCCCTTGCTGTTCTGTCACTCTTCCGTCTTGCTTAACTGTCATCACCTTTACAACTCCTTTGCATCTCCTCATTAATACAGAATCATAGACTCGGTATCTCTGAATACAATTGCTGTCCCGATAATAAGAGGTTGCGTGAACCCCCTTGGTACTACTGTGGGCGGCGAGTACAGTTCTTCAGTTAAAGTCAGGCTGTTACTGACCTCAGAGTGGGTACTTGTCTATGCAAAAGTGCCCTTTTGGACATTCTTTTTTTTTTTCCACAAAATACAGTAGTTTGTGTGGTAGAATGGTACCCTGGCTATGCAATTCTCATAATAAACCACTACAATTTTAATATATATTACTATATCTTTTAATATATATTTAAGTATTACATATATCTATTTAAGCTATTTTAGGCATATATTTCTAATTTATATACTAAGTATATATATTTAAAGTATTTTTACTGTCGAAAAGAATAATCTTGTTAAAAGCTCAGAACACCGCAGGGGCAGAGGGGAGTTCAAGCTTTTACCCTGGTTTACAGCTCTCACATACCCTAGATGGTTTGTCCAATTCTTTCTCATGACTCTGCTAATTTTTATGTACTTTCTTATGCTGGAGGCCTGTTTTTCCATGATACTGGACACTCGACGTGCAGTACCACACTCAGCACCTCTGAAAAACATCATGAGATGTTGACTTGAGAATGAAAGCAATAAAACTACTATTTATTTTTTTTATAAAGTTTGTTCTTGTTAGTATTTGTGTTTTTCTTTTCTGCCAAATGTCATATTAAAATGTAAATGGTGATGAAGTCTTCAGAAAGAAGTTACTGTAGGTGCAGAATATTACTATTAGAAACTATGGTGTCCCATGCAATGAGAAACTGATACAGATTTTGCAACTCAATAAATACATCATGTCCACTGAATAATACTTTATGTCTACGTCAGCGATAACAAACTATGTGAGAAGTACAGCATGTTACAGAACAGATACATTACATGGTATTTGTGCATTTAGTCTCAGCTTTTCTTGCCTACATATAGGAGACGTTTAAGTGAAAAACGTGCTATGAACAAGCCAACTCTTGCAGCCATTTGCTTGAACGCATGAACCCACTAAAAGACAAGATAAACGAACCCTGGTACCTTGGGCAGGCAAGCAGTTGTACTGAGGTAACACTTAAACACATTTAAAACCCCGTAACATGCAACACCATCGTACGGATTGACACGAGCAATACATCACGGACACAGCGGTTTGTGCCCATCCTCCATAGCGCCGCGCGTACGCAGGATAGACCACGGCATGTTTCCGCGCGAGGTGAGCGTGCATCCACGTCTTCAGGAACGACAACGTTACGTTTCAGGTTATCCACGGGATGAAGCCCTGACCCGAGGGCTGCGGTCAGTGGGATTTCTGCCATCGGCTTCACGCAGCGAAGAAAGCGCACGTGGGATTTCGATTGCTGTTTTTAGCCTTGCCCTTTGCTTCTCACCCAAGCCCGTGTGCTCCGTACTTAGCCAATACCGCACCCCTCCTTCTCCCCCCTTTTCCTCAGCGTACCTATTCACCACTTGCCCTGGGGGGCAAGGTCACCTGTTCTGCTCCCAGCTGCACTCGCCTTCTCCGCATCCATCAGTTGAGATCCCAGCAACGTCCTCTGTGATAGAAATCAATTGTGCACCGCATTAACTTCATGAGGTATTAATTACATTTAAGAATCAATTCCTTCTCCTCTACAAACAGTATTTCAGGAATTATCATTTGTCTGTAGATAATTATTTTTTAACTTAAATATAGATAAGGTGTAATAAATAACTTTTTTTTTTTAAAGTGAGAAGGGAGATTAGATTTGCGAAGCTGTTGATGTTTCCCCTTGGTTTGTGCCGTCTCCTTGCGCCGAGTGAGTCAAAAACTGTCCCGTAGCTCCAATGTATAACCTGGAACGCATCGGCCACTTCTGCAAGAGAAGAGACAAGGACAGCGCTGAGGTACATGGGAACTGTGCAGTCTGAATGTGGTTCTCAAAGTTTTAAAAGTTGGTGGAACTGCAATATGAGAAAACAGGAAACTGTCGCTACAACCAGAAAGTTCCCGTTTTATCATTTGCTGGAAAGTATCATTAGAAGCTAGGTATGGGAACCTCAGCCGGGGTATTTTTCTCTGGTAATTAAAGATGAGGCACAGCTCCCAAACCCTGCCGGGACCCAACGGACAGGAGTAGGCCATGCTACACCATTTGTATAGTAGATGCTTTGTTGGTACAATAAAACAAAAACATTCCTCTTTTCGCTGCCAGGGATACTACAGGGATACACCAACACCTGCAGAGATCGCAGCCCTGCGTGCATCCCCAGTCGTGCCGGACGGCCCCCACGACACCGACCGCAGCACGGGGGCTGCTGAAGACTGCCCCAAAGGGAACTTAACGCAACTGCTCCGTGGCTGTCTTCAGCACTGACGACGTCTTTGTCGGCTCCAGCGGTTTCAGATGAGACAGCTCATCTCGCCATTCGCTGAGCACCGGAATAATCGGTTACATCGCTGTTAAACATCTCTTCTCATAGCTCGAGTTTCTTATCTCAAGCAAGGTAGTTACTGCCAGCGGCCCTGCAGCAAGGGTGACCGCAGCTGGGTGCCCATCTCTTGGAAGGAAGAATTCAGCCCCGGTTTGATGTGCCCAGGTCATTATTAGAGGGGTGGATGTTTGAAAAGACAATTTGCCGTACACATTGGATGCAAAAATACCTGAAACGCAGCCAGCACGTTGTTCCAAAAGAACACGATTTTTTTTTTTTAGGACAGTTTTGGGAACAGGCTAGCACCTTTCCTGTGGGTAATGAGAGAGAGCTCTAAAACTTGAGCTTAGTTCTGCAGTTAAATCTCAGCTCTTCTATTTAAAGACATAAAGCAGCAGCATATTTGCACTTGGAAAGACCGTATGATGTCATTCAGTATTTTTATTTCGAGTGACATTATGAATTCATCACCAATAAGACAAGAGTTTAAAATCATTAACCATACTTTTTGTTCGATGTACACACAACTGTACCTGGATATTTTACTTTCCTCGCTATTTGTGCTCAATACATGAGTGCAGTTAAAAGTCTTTCTCTATACTGGTGGTCACATATCCCGCACTCTGGGATTTTTTGAAGCAGTACTAGGATTTGTCTGGGACGTTTTCATTTTAGTGACGATTAAAATTAATTTACTACCAGGAATATTAGAAAGATTGGTTAGACTCATAGAATTTTTACAAAACTAAATACAGCTAAATAGCACATAAATAAGATTATAAAAAATAATTGCTAGATTAAACCAGTACTGCTGTATTCCAGTAGCCCAGGAAATGTGCATTGGGATCATTTAACTGCTGTAATAATAATTTTAAAATCTTTTTCTGCCAGTAATAGTTGGCAGCTGATAAAAAGCATCATAAGAGACCTGCACCCTTTCACTCTGACCAAGGGAACTGACAGAAGCTACTTCAAACTTATTTTGAAATACATCACAAATTTTTTTTTTTCCTTAAATTATAGCCATCTTCTAATTGATGTAAAGGTTTTGCTTTCTTAATGAGCCTGCTAATCATTTAAATGGCCTCAGAAGCCTATGTTCGCATCATGCTTTTTGCAGCGACCAACACTGCGAACAAGAAACTCTCTGTGAATTAGTCACTTTATAGGAATTAGAGATTACTTCACAAATTAATCTTAATTAAATCATTCTGAATTCACCAGACTTAAAAAAAAAAAAAAAGGAAAAAGAAAAAAAACTCTGCCTGAGACCAGAGCCAAAGAAAATACCCCATGGTATTTAAGAGCCCCGTCAGTCACTGAGCAATGCGTTTGAAACCAGTTTCCAGCCCCAGGTCTGCTCCAAGGGCCGTTCCCCCTTCTCGTCCCCTCTGCATCGTTGTGAGTTTTTTGAAGGGAAGAACAACAACAGCATACACCAACTAAACGGAGTGAATGCATCAGAAAAGCACTTTCACAGAAGTAATTAACACATGGCCAGTAATTAATGCTACCTTCCATACCTTGGCTGCCTCGGCAGGAGAACGAAAGCAGGCCCAGCTGCAGCTGGGGTTGCCGCTGTGGGACAGTGCATCACCTGAGCCACACACAGCCCTACAGCCGGTTCCGATGGGTTTGGTGGGGCATCACCAAGGTTTCCACCTGGGGACCAAGGAGGTGCTGGTACCCCCCTGGTGCTGCCCTCTGCCTTCACCTCCCAGGGACCAAGTCCCGCTGGGTTTGGACCTACGCTGTATTTGGTATTTTTGTGCAATGTCCCTGAAGCTGGAGGGACAAAGCTCCGGGACATTTCCATCAGGCCCCTAGCACCTCGATGCCATGGTTAGCCTAGGCAGTCTTTTCATATATTAATTCTGGCAAGGGAAATAAGCTTGAAATCTTTAGTTTTGTCTAGTTATCTAAGATCAATGTACTTCTTCACTGAGAGAAGGTGGTAGCTGCTCCTCAGCTCTCCTACCTTGACAGGGTGGAGGTATCCATCCCCTCGGAGGGTACCCAAACCCTCTCCCGGTGCCTCTTCCTCATCCTGAAGGCTGCGAGTGAGGTGAGCGATGTAGGTGGTGGCCAGGAGGAGTACATCCAGCTTGGAGAGCTTGGTGTCGGGCGGCACAGAGGGGAGGGTCTTCTGCAGCTCGAGGAAGGCATGGCGCAGGGTTTGAACCCGACTGCGCTCTCGAGCGGCATTAGCGGCGGCGGGTCTGCCAGGAGGTGCCCCAGCCCGCTGCCCAGCCACCGGGGGCCGGCAGGAATTGCTGCCGGCAGCAGAAGGCAGCAGGGAATCGGGCTCTGCGCCCGGGG